GCTATTTTTATTTTAACGGAGAAGTCAAAGTCAAACAGTATGATCGATAAAATTTCTATTAAAAGCGCGATAAATCTCAAACAAAACTTGGCCTCGATTTCTGCAAGCACTTTTCGTCTTACACATCTGCATTTCGCACGATCTTTCGCAAGGATTGCACGTTACATTGTTCGGCCGGTCGCAAAGTGTTGTGCAAAGTTGTCACATGTTGTTTCAAACCGGGAAAAGCGTCGGCCAGGATATCAGCAACGGCATCGTTTGACATTTTTATTGCATCAACGAGGTACACTTCACGTAAATGGCACGTACCGTACTGTACGCGTATTAATTATTACGATTGACTACGCATATAAGAAGTGTCGACCTCCGCGCGTGTCAGACGCGAATAAAGCGTATTAAATTTATCGCACGCGCAAACTTGGCCATTAGTATTAATGCCGTTTATGCGAGCACGCCTGCATATTAAAAGGTATAAATTTCGTGGAATAAGGCCGTATATAGCAAATCGCCGAAAGGTTCACGCAAACCAGTTGTACTTAATCTAAATGAAGTACGACATTTAACGATGAAAACAAAGGATGAAAACAAATATTTTCTTAAATCGTGTGCATGCGCGAAGCACATCTTCTTAAGTTGCCGCATTCTCTGTTGAATAAATATTTTCTTTGAAATAAATATCTAGAGATGCGTATAAAATTATAATTTAAATTGCATGTGTCATTTTGAATAACGTAAAAATAAATAATCTCTTTTCTTATGCGAGGATGCGTCTGATTAAACGTAGTCCTTGAGATACATCGCGGAAAAAAACGATAAGTTTAATTTGACTTTTTAAGATAATATTGATTCGAAAACTAACTCTATTGTTAAATTAATTTTCTTTTCTATTCAATTCAGTATTTATTGCATTTATAATGAATTATGCAGCCTTTTGATGATAAAAATATATTTTGTCTCTCATATGGAATACCATGCTTTATTTTTCGAAATTTCACTTTCATATTCAAAATGTTTTGTCTTATTTATAATTTAAAAAAAAAATTGACGATATCAAGCATTAATTTGTAAATATCGTGGTGTCAAAACCTTGAATCTTGAATTGAATTTCGAGATCATTGATGGCACCAAGGTTGTCATTAATTTAATTAAAAGACGTAGTCCACCGTATTATCTTGATCGTGTGTTACATAATTCTCTAGCATTTCAGAAAGCAAATTCTTATTCCTATCTTTTGGTGCTGTCCAAGGATGATCCTCATTAATATTCTTAATCCATTCGAGATGTCGATGAACCATGGCAATATACAGCAGTTTTATCATCGTGATTATTACGCAATAGTGCAGCTCACAAAAGTCGCAAGGAACTTTATTATGTATATATTATACATAATTGTTATTTATAATTTGTCATTATGTGTGTATTATTTTATTTATTATAAAAATTTATCTTGTATAAAATTTTCTGACTTTTTGATAATTAGGTATCAATTCGCAATTTTTGTAAGAAGAAGCAATGCTAATTTTTATTCTAATTTTATTATCTATTGTTGTGTTTTATATTTTGATTCTTTTTACATTTAAGCGGAAGAGTTGCATCGAGTTTAAATGACGTGATTTTACAATCGAAGAAAATCTTAAGCATTCCATTATTGGCACGCATTGGCCGACGTTGGCTATTACAAGCGCGCGTAACAGGTGTTCGAAAAGTTACCGGAGCTGGCAAAAGTGTTACATCAGCGAATAGACGATGCGATCGTCGTACATGGCATGTACAGGATACTACAAATGAGGATTTACCAAAGCGCGAATCACAATCAAAACAATTTTTGACTGCAAATAAATCGCATTTCAAAAAACATGATATTATCCAACTAATTTTTTTACGCTTTTCTGTGGGGAGGGAGGGTTCTATCTTAGCAGATAACTTTATAAAATTATTGTATAAAATAATAGATATGCAGAGAACCATTACAGAGGAAGAGAAAGAGAGAAGATACAGATGTTTGTCCAATATCCTTGGATATCCTTTGGATATTCAAATAAGAGAGAGCCGCAATATTTATAAACAGATTAATATCATCATTATTTCACATTATGTATATTTATAGCTATTATCTTTGGATTTTTATCGACATGAATCATGTTCAAACGTCAATTTTTAACAATATAAAAACACTGTGCATTAAAATGTGCATTAATATTAAATGTGCACTGTCATTATAGTAAAGAAAAAACATTTGAGAATAAATAATAAATTAAAAAAATAATTATGGTAATTTTATATAATAAAATTAATCTCTTTCTCTCCCTGCCTTTCTCTCTCTCTCTCTCTCTCTCTCTCTCTCTCTCTCTCAGAAGGCTTATCCTTACCAGAGAATTAAAAAATGCTGAATTATATAATAAACTCATCTTGTATAATCTTAATCGTTATCTGCAGCTTCGACGTTCTTGTTAGAGTTTGCAAAACCATATATCATTATTGTCGTTGCAATAATATTTTTGCAAGAATTTCCAATTATATCACAATGAGAGAGAAATTAGACATAAATAGACGAATTTATACATTTCATGCATAAAAGCTATTTATAATTGTAACTCATATAAAATTCATCGATATAAATAGATTACCATATTTTTTTGTCTCATTTCATTTCTATGACAATTAACATCGCTAACATTGATACCGCAAATATTATCGTTATTCCTTATTATTGCTACTGCGACATGTCTATGTCAATTTCCTCCGTAAAGAGACTTAGGTTTCGCCAGTCTGACACAACCGGAACCTCCTCCACTTTTCAACCGAGGATCGTGGAAATTCCGAGAATGAAACCGCTCGCTGGATCCTAAACGCGAGTTGCAGCACAGATGACATTGACTATCCTATTACTTGTCTACAGTTACCACTTGGTGAAAGTTGACGATGCGCATCTTCAAGGTCGTCGTCGGAGCGACCGTTCTTGCTCACAAATGACGTTTTCTGAAATTTGGTCTTCTGAAATTCTTGCCTTACCATGAGATAACAAAAATGGTAGCGCGACCTTTTCTTCCTAAAACGACTGTAAACACGGTAAAAAGTACAGAGATAATATTCTGAGCGACGTGCGAAAAGAACAGGCGGCGTTTTAATTGCCGGGAACGTTAATTGCTCCATTGTGCATTTCAATTACTCGATACGAGCGAGTAACAGGTTTTTGAGCTCGCGCGGGAAACAATGTCGACAATAATTTAATAAGACGTTTAGCACGGTTGATGACTACTGCGTGCGATTCGCAATGCAGATATCATCATTTAATGAGACAATTTACTAAAAAAGAAATATTTTTGTGTGTGTGCGTATGAAAGATAATATTTACATTTGTTACACTTGCGCAAAATACTTTTGATTGGATATATAACGTCACGATTCTAGCGGATTAAGATTTCAAAATGTAAAGGGATAACACAAAACTATGTTTCTTATTTTATTTTATAACTGGATTTTATGTATTAATAAAAATCATATTTTGTATGTTTAGATATTTGACTTTTTTCATAAAGCATTAAATTTTTAACAGATACTCGCGCTAACCATTTGATATTTCTGAAGTATTCAGAAATGAAAGATGCATATATTTTTCTATATTTTATTGATACAAAGTATCATACACATATAGAAATATTTTTTTTACACATGTGTATGTAATATGTCTATATAATATATAGACACAACATGTAGAGGTATCATCTAAATATGTATTTAAATATGTATTTAAAATTATGCATTAATTTTTGAAATTTATATTTAATTTATTAGCTTTTATATATTTATTACATATATATCATTACATAATATAAATGTCATCAACAATAAACGAATTCAATGATCATTTTACGCTGTTGTTTCGTCAAAGGAAGAGAATTTCGTTTCATCGTGTCTAGAAAAACTTTAATATTAACATATGAAACGAGAAATACATGCAGTCGATTATTCACAGCACTAGAGTTAAGACTCAAAGAAATGGAAAGTCTTTTCATCTACCAATACAGCCGCTATCGCGACGTCTACTTCGTCTTGAATTCACAGCAACTATAAACACTCCGACAAATGTCTGAACAAAATACTCTTTCTAGGCTGGACATCGATTAACGCAAGACTTCTAATAAACAGATGCAGCGCGTTTAAATAAACCAACAAAAATTCCAATAAATTGCACGATAAGTTCTATGCCAATCTAAATCAACAAGTAAAAGATATTTTAGAGACTTAAAAAATTTATAATAATGCTTGATATCGAAAATTTCTTATGATAATAAAAAGATTTTGACGAAATTATGCATTTAATATAGAAATGTTTAATAAAACATTTTGTATGACTAATTTTAATAGAAATTTTATGTTAAAAGATTATTTTTGCCAAGAAATTTAAACTCATAAATTGAAACATTAGCTAATATAGCTTCGAAGATATAAAAAAATTAGTTATAAATTGCCGATCGCGTAACCGACAATATCGTGCTGGTATGGTTGTGGGAACAAAGAGTTTATTCTGACTTATTAGCTGTTAATTTCAATCTATCCTATCATTAACCACGTGATAAAAACGTAGCTGAACATTGATCGATTGCTTCGATTGCTTTGAGTTCAATCGAATTAACGTACTGTCGAACGATAATCCCGATCGTTAGAATTATATCTACAAAATTTAAATAGAGACGCACAAATATCTTCAATTTTTTTTCTCCTCTATTCTGTCCTTTTAAATAATTCTTAAAGACGCGCCAAATTTGATGCACAACGAGAAAAAAGAAAAAATGTAAAGCCAATTACGTTGATACGAGGACACACACTTTTCAGGATCACGAGAAAATCGGATCGAAATCTCTAACCCTTAATTATCCGACTAAGGTCTCATTCAGAAGATTCATCAGAACGTCTTCTGCTGGGTCCTTCGTTTGTAGCGAAGGGTGGGATGAGTCTACTGCTTGGTGGGGACCATTTCTATATAATCGACGGTGAAGGTGCCTGTCTCTCCATATCCCCTATCAGTGACCACGTTTCTTTAACCGTCGTCTCTTTGACGTCTATCTGTACTTTACAAAGAGATAAGTGATACAAGGTGAGTGTCGATTGTTTGAATGACGTAGTCCAAGGATTGAAACCTATGGTATAATTTTTGGTGAGTTCAAATTTCGATGCTGCGAATAGATAAAAATTTTTATAATCGTTTGTGACAACTGAATCGCTACATATACATACGCACCTAATTAAGGTAAAGTATACTTTCTCCTCTATCTACAGCATCGAAAATCGAACTAATAATAAGCGAGATTTAATCTTTTTAGTTTCTAACTTTTGATCGCGTTTAAAAATCAATGCGTCCATGCATTATCGGATTTCCCATAAAATCTGTTGAGAAATTGAAAATTGAAATCTTATTTGTTTTGTACACTCGGTAGGCATACGGTGTAACATTTCTATTATAGCGATATGAAAAAATATTTAAATATGACAAAAACAATATAAGATTAAGATTACATCATAATATACAGACTATATCATAATTATTAGGTTATAAATAACATTAATTAAATCTCTGTTTCCAATAATTTGCAATAATAAAAATTATAAGATACCTTATAAATTAGATAAATTATAAGATAAGGTTTTAAGAGAAACTATTATTTTTGTAATTTTATTTTGCTCCTAAATAATTCTAATTTAGATAATTGATGATATATTGATAATATACTTTTCAATGTTGTTTTCCAACGTTTGTCGGAAAAATTTCTAATCGGACGTGAACGCGATTTGATGGATCATGTAACATACGGATAATATCGGCATCTATGCATAAAAAAACCGTCTTGCGACTTCATTAGACAAGACACTCCCTAAGAGAAACTTCTGCCTGATGGAAAGGAACTGTTTGTGTCGGCAGAATGAGTCTCACTTGCGTATCTGTACATGTCAACGCCATTACGTAGGAAACTCTCACCGACCGGTCATAATAAGTCAATGAAATTTCAATGTCTGAATATCTCTAAATTGATATTTAAATGATCTATCTATCTATTTTGTATACGCTTGCCTGACGATTTGTAAGCATTTCGTGTTGCCCATAATACATATTTGGTGCCGATTCATTACTGTATGACTTATTTATTATCATTTTTCTTCTGCTTCTAATTTTTATATCGTAAAGAGAATATTTGACAGTCAAAAAAGGCACATTATTAATTATATTATTTTAAATATATGCATTATTCAAAGCCAGACAATACATTTTTAACATTTCCATAGTTGCAAAAATTACAAAAATTATCGCAAATTAAAAAATTAGCTGATTATCCAATATGATATTAAATATTATGTAACACTAATATTTATTTAATATTTTGTCATCTAGATGATTTTGGTGCCACTGGCTGTGGTGCTTCTCGCGGCGTTTGTCAACGCCGAGCCGGCTATCAATGAATCTGGACCGCGCAATAACCGACCTGGAAGATTCTTGTCTCTTCCGNNTCCGATACCGCAAAAATGTGCAAATCGTAAGTACTTTTTGACATACATGCATCCTGTCAAACGCTAATCATATAATGGCTTGTGCGGACAATGATAAAGCGCTACAAAAAAATTAACAACTTGAAAAATTAAAAATTATTACCTACAAGTCCTATTAGTCCTAATATTCTACACTAAAATCTAGAAAATCATAGATTCATCTATTTGTTGCATAAGCTAAAAAATAATTAAATATTTGTCTACGAGATAATTATTATCATGATTCTCACTCTCATAATATAGTAATAATAATTTATTACATTTACACAAAAAATCTCTAAGAGAGATAATCTTATACCTGCGCAATTAGTGAATAGTTACAGAAATTATTTGACAGAACTTGATAATTCATTATTTCGCGTAATCAAGATCATTCAGCGGTATCTTATGATAATCTTAACATCGTAATTATAAAACACAGATTATCAAACGATTACTTACGCGTGTAAATGCTGCCAATCGATGAATTTTCATCCACGAGATCTGAGCCTGTTTCGATTAGATCACCAGCGAGTAAAACGTCCGTAAAAAAAAAAAATGCGAAATGCAGCGGCACGGACTTTCATCGTTATTCTCTTTCAAAAGAGGCGATCGTGCGTCTCGGCACGATATTGCCATGCCATCTCAAAAGAATCGAGGTTACAATGCTGATATACGCTAAGAAGCTTTCCCCCTATCCCTCGCGAAATTTCATGAGGTACGAGTGTATTTTTAAAAGCAGACGAGCCTCTCTCAACTCTTGTGTAAGCACGCGCCCCGGGTATTCATTTTTGATCGCCATGGGTACCAGTTTTTGCGTCCACTTATTATTGCCAACGGATTCAACCGATATCATTGCGTGACGAACTTTCTTGCTGATCCTTTATCTTGTCTGATATACACTTTCTCGGCGCCACTCGATCAAGAAGTCAGTCGCGTCTCAGCGACGATATGAGGCACTTATTATTAAAGTAAATTCGATTTCGAAAATCGTGTTAAAATAGATGCTTCATTATTTTATGAGATACAATATATCTGTATTCATATTTGAGAAAATATAATATATAAAAGGATACACACTCTTAAAGAGAAAAATAATAAAATAATGTATAAAATAATTAAATAATATTAATAACAGTTGTACTTTTTTGCAAAGGACTAGTGTGTCACTATAGCTGCTGCAATGCAATAAATATCTACTGCATTTCTGCAACTAAATTATTCTGAGAATCATCTTTTTGCTTTCTACTCGTTTAAGTGGCGATTTTCTTAGATTGTGATGATATCCTGATTTAGTCTTGCGGTCAATGTTCATGAAATGATCATTTGTAAAACGCAATACTGATGTTAAATATCACTGGATTAGTTTTATCTTCAATCAGACAATGATCTAATAATTTTCGCAAAGGATGTTTTAGTATTGTTGTAACGCAACAGATTAATTCAATAAGATCTTCATTAACGACATCATAGCAAGGACATTGATACAAATTATTCAAATGATAATATGTTCGCGAGATATCTTACGAGTTATTAATATTGTGTCATCAGTTTATAATTATTAATTCTTAGTTCATCAAAATATATTATCGATTTCAAAGAAGATTAATAATAATTTTAGTTTAATTATTCTCATTTAATAATATTGGCTGTAAATATAGATAAAAAAGCACTCGTAAATTATTGCACCGACGATTTGATTAACTCTAATCAGCAAATTGTTGCCTTTTCCTATATATCATAATGTAGAGAAAGTTTACTTCGTATAGAGACAGCGCCAAATGTTAGGGCAAATGCGTTTTAACGGGAGAAACAGACATTTGCACGGCAACGTATTAAAGAATTATAGGAAAACGAAACCGCGCAAGAATGTAGAGCAACGCATTTGCGAGTCAAAGTGCAACGGAGAGACAGAGGGTGAGAAATACGGAATTTCCAAATGGTCGCATTTCCACGGTATTTAATAACGTGAGAGGTGCGAGAGGAGAGTAGGTCGTGGGAGTGAATCGGCTTTGCCGCAATGGTGCAACGTAATGATGTTCGGATACGACCACAATCACCTAACAACCTAATGATTGCATGCTCGCTCTCCTGGAATGCCCGATCGCGCTGACAGGATAACAGGATGAATCTTAGCGACCAAGTCAATAATAATCAGGTGTAGCGTGATTCCCTTGTGTTCGCGCCGAGAAAAAATGTATATAATAAGCGTGTCAATGCAGACACGCACGCGTAAAAGAATGCAAGCAGAAAAACTGGCACGAACCTTAGTTACGTGTAGTGAAAAAATGCAAAACGCTTAACTACATAATTATGCTACATATATATATATACACAATTTATAAAGATATCTCTGAAAATTCTCTGACTGAAGAGTAAAATCTAAAATGTCACATGGCGTTAAAATAATTACGTCAGAGAAACAAAGCTACAAACATTTTATTATTATAATTCTAATTATATAATTTCATTATTATTTATTATTATATATGATTTACGTCATTGTACTGCCATATAGATCATATATCCAGTGATATCAGTCTAAATCTTGGTGTGTCAGAACTTCTAAATCTTTTCGTCGAATCAAGATAAAAGATTAACGGAACATTGTGTGTGTTTAATTTTTGTAAACTTACTTACGGGAATTATCGCGAAGCCGTTAATAACACAATGGAATACGTAATGTGTATGCATATCTTATACTTAAGGCGAGCGATAATGACACGCTTGTTGAGTAACATGTGAACAAGTATTGGCCTATGGATATTATATAATACCCATCGGCCTATTAAACCGTTGTCCGACGGTGCTATTACGGTGAAGATATACGATTAAATGTCCGCATGCTTTATCATATTACTCTCGCGTGCATATTGTAATTACACACGAAGATACGGTAATCGATTTTCGAATTTTCCTGTCGAGTTCAGCGCGAAATAAAAATCTATCTTATATCAAGTCGTTGATACATAGGCTGTGGTATTATTATAAGTGCACAACGAAACGCGAAGATTAGGCTTGGCAACTGTATTGATCTTTCGTTAGCAAGACTAGCAATGATCTTAGATGAATAATAACAAACAATATGCTTATGTAACATCTTTCTTGTTTTATACGCTAAATGTGGCCCTCGGGACATTAATATGTAATTAAGATATAATGACAGATAATTAATTAAATAAACGGGCTCTGTGTATATTTTGCGCAAGATGCTACTGTTTGTTTTATAGCAACGATTTTAGGAGATCTCACAATCGACTCGACAGAGCTCGATAAGAACGTCCGACATAATTTCGCAAACTCGTAGCGTAAAAAAATCCGAGATGGACAATCGCGTATAAGTTTAATCGACGTATTATACCGCTGTTAATCACAATTACGCAATGCGGCTGACGCCGAATAAAAGACCGTCGCTAACAAATCGCCATTAAGTCGCCTTATGTGTGGCTGACCGATCAGCTGTTGCAATCTTACTCGGCGTGAGGTTGACTGACTGACAACTCTACAGAAGGCCGGCGCTACATCGCCACGAAAATGTCAGGAACTGCTTGCGAAATTAAACAATGGCGCTCTATGGAGATTATCCCCCCGGCGCGATGCCGCTTAACAAGCAGTCCCCATGACTCGTCTGTAAAAATATATTTTCATAATGTCATATGTGAAAATACTCGCGTACATATGTATTATACCTACGTTAAAAAATATTTTTAAAATGTTTCTCGAGCACGCGCAATTTTTTCGCAAGAAGGAATTTTTATGGAGAATTTTGGAAAACGATTTTGTTTCCGACGGTCGTTGTGTACATACTTTTGAACAAATGTAACGATTTATATAAATATATTGTATAAATTTTTTAAATCGCAATTCGACGAAAAAAATCGAAAAATCGCTAAAGAAAAAGCAAATGTAAAATAATATCACTTGTTGATTTTAATTTTGGGATACTTTAAAATACTATAAATCCAACTCTAAAAAAAGCTAAATTTGGATTAAGCATAGTTTTTGGTGAAATGCAAAAGAGAGAGTTTATACATCAAAATCGAATCAAATCATTAGAGGACAATCATCAGGACAATTTTTTCGTGAAAATCAAACATTCATCTGATAAGGCGAATGTTTGGCTGTCTTCAAAAATCAAGAAGGAAAGAGCACGGGGAAAACCATTATCCCCATACGAGACGAGTTGTACCAGGACCCATTGACCCGTCGCGCGAAGAGAAAAAGTTTCACCTTCGCCTGGCAGCTCGTGCGGAGAGCCACGAGAGTTTCCTTTTCCTTTGCCTCCGTGCTCGAACGTTGTTTATTCACGACTTACCGTCGACCCACTGATCCCGTTTGGGAACGAGAAATTGATTCTCGACGAATTCACTGGTGGAGTGTGCTCAATTTTGAAACGATACCATTAGCGTGATTAAATTGATAAATAGCTTAACGAATTGTTTATTTTTTCTATATTACACACACAATATGATCAATATGATAGGCAATATAGTTAATTACGATTAATGCTAACCGATATTGATTGAATTAACAATAAAGCGACATGAAGTATGGATGCAAGAATATTTTTATTTAATCATAGATTTTTTAATTTTATTTTTAATTTAATAACACAGATAAATTAATTATTACTATAACTATCATAAATCGATAATTGTAGCTTCATGTCTCAACGCGAATGGTTTGCGATACTATGTTTTGTAAAACACTTAAAAAACTCAATTTTTATATCATGATATATATATCATAATATAAAGATTGAGTTTTTTAGATTGATATAGCATATATATATATATATATATTATATCAAAATTGATTGAAATATTATAACAAAAAATATAATAATTTTATTTCCTTCGAAGAAATCGCTTTCAAATATTTATCTTACTTTTCATTGCATTTCACTAAAGATGACACATCATTCCTGAGAGCATGCGAATCTCGCGATTCGAATTTCACACACAGAACAACATATAGATACGATTGACATCCGCTTGCGTGACAATTAGTAGAGATAGGTTGCGATTGCATGCATACAAGAGAATCTTACTCATTAATGTATGCGCTCGTTATATCGCTAATTAAGTGACGTCTAAAGCTTCTCCATCATTGAAAAACAGTCAGTTAAACGCCAATATTTTCCTTCAAATAACCGATTTGTCCCTCGAGATTAGTTCCTTGATCTTAATGATGACACCGGAAGTGAATCGAATGCTGTCGAAACACATCGATGGCGCATAGTCGCATTACTAACAAAATCCACTTTCTCTCCGTCTCAAGATAAAGTTTGTATCTAAGAAAAATATTGCACATCCGTAGAAAACAGTTGTTCGACAGTAAAACTCTGATTGTAATTTTAATAACAAAACTCTTTCAAAGATAGATTATAATATTTGTTTTTTGATAATCTGTTATCAAATTTATAGATATATAATGTTCGACTATCTCATCATTTTATTCACATTATGCGCTATGATTCTCAGTGAACAACAGCTCGTACGATTGAAGCGATTATCGTTGCAAGTTCCTTGACACAAACGCGTAAGACGCGCGAAGGGCATAAATGTTTAATGAACGATGATATAACGACCATAAATTGCGATTATCCGACAGGAGGCAAACGTTTTTTTTTGTTCGATGCATGCGGATGCATCGCCGTCATTGCGTGCGAGCGTGAAAATAAATCCGCTGCATATAATGATGATATAATCACGAACGGAATCATTCTGTGTACCGTTATTTCAATAATACATGTGTAATGTTGTTTGCATTCGCACAATACGCAGCACGTAACAGTTGAGAGAATCTTAATCTATAATTTCTATGATTATATGCAAAAAGAAATTTATTGCAAAATATTTCTTACATTAGGTGTGTCTACATTCTAATTGCTTTAATAGATCATTATATTATTTTATTTGCATTTTTTTCATCCTGTCTTTATCGTTTTTCGCAACATAAAATTATTTCTTTTTTTGCAAATATATATACGACTTTTATATTTTTCTCCTTCTCTCATTATTTTTTCATATAGTATAATATTTATGTCGCTTTCTAGCGTATTAATCTGTATTTTATCACATTGATAACAATGGACAGCTACGTAATACACCGTATCGTTATATATCGTAAGTTTCAATATTGATTATCGATCTAGACGAGAATAGCCATGCGATGACAGCTGTAGTGCCACTGTATAATGTTTTACAATATGTACATGCAGATTTCCGTTCGATGCAATCACGGTGTCAGTTTCATGTAACTACGGCTAACTCATCTCTACATTTAACATACTACATGACTCCATTGAAATCACTTCACGTGACTTCGATCAATGAAAGCGTAAATTACTTTCTAAGTACGACGGTTGTGTGCAACAGTGATAAATTTAATTATATGCCGTGTGTTTTCTTTTTCGTGTTATTAATAAATATATTACTTCGAAATATATTACTACCATCGTCGAACATTACTCCTCTGTAAAAGTTTTTACAGTCAAACCATTAATCTATCGTAACGCGGCTTCTCGTTATATTTAACGACTATTTAATACAGCTTTTAATATTCGCGAACCATCTAAGATCACTTTCTCGTCGTCAATTTTCTTAAGAAATTATTATTGATGTCGATAGTCATTCATATTTAACCATGTTTTACAATAGAATATTGGAAATGGATGTGTATGTATATATACATATATTAAAAAAAAAGTTGAGATGATTTTTAATCTTATTTGTGTTAATAACATGTTATTTTATATGCCTTTAATATTTAAATTCAGAGATATGACTATTAAATCTTTATACAATATTCACACATAAATTGGACAGAGAATATAAGAGAATCAATAATCAGAGCGCTTATATATTACGAAATGCATTAAAGTAGTAGATATGAAAGTTATATTTAACGACTATTTAATACAGCTTTTAATATTCGCGAACCATCTAAGATCACTTTCTCGTCGTCAATTTTCTTAAGAAATTATTATTGATGTCGATAGTCATTCATATTTAACCATGTTTTACAATAGAATATTGGAAATGGATGTGTATGTATATATACATATATTAAAAAAAAAGTTGAGATGATTTTTAATCTTATTTGTGTTAATAACATGTTATTTTATATGCCTTTAATATTTAAATTCAGAGATATGACTATTAAATCTTTATACAATATTCACACATAAATTGGACAGAGAATATAAGAGAATCAATAATCAGAGCGCTTATATATTACGAAATGCATTCAAGTAGTAGATATGAAACGCCATGGACAGCAGAACGCGTGATACAACCGGGATATAATTCTTTATTTTCTATTATAAAATCTTTGTTAAATTTATACTGACAACGGGAATCACGACTTTGTCCTATGTCGTAAAGCCTGACAGACAGTTCTTCTTCTTCCTCGACAAGTGCAACACAATCGCACTTTGCCTTTCTACGGCGGAGTCTCGAATTAAGCACGAGCCTCGAATTAACCAAGCAGATGGATGGTTGACGCAAAGAAATCTTGTTTCTATTTAAAGAGATATTTGAATTAAAATTCTTACTGCTGCTCTTTTCGGCAAAACATATTTTCTTTATCTAAATTCTCTCTCCATTTATTATTCTGTCAAAAACTACAATGATAAGTAATTCAAAGTGTGATTGACAATAAGAATAAATATCAACCGCAAAAGATTGTTTCAAGTATTTCTCTGCAGTGAGTATAGTTCATGCATATATGAAATTATAACCGTTTTTCCGTGATATACCAAACGAGACAAGCATACTCATGTCTCTTTTTTTTTGCTGAGTTATTATTCGTTTACAGATTAACCGAGGCTGCGAATGCGGCTACGCGAAAATGATCATTTGTTAAATTACAACATTATAAGAAATGTATAAAGAATAGCGGCCGTTTGTAAAATTGCCATTGACGCGTTATCGACCTTTGACATTAGCGTGTTCAATCCTTGGCGAATACCAGGCGAAATCATCAATCGACTAAAAACGTACGTGAGCAAGGACATATAAGCAGTAAAACGTAAAGGGCGTAGATGCCCGGAGATCAACTTGATGATTTGTTGTTTTATTCAAATTTAATGGCTATTTCTTACGTCATGTATATAAAACGTTATGCAATAAATTTTTTTAATCAACATAGTGCCATTGCCAACAAGTTGCCAAAAACATCGCACAAATCTGGTTATTTTAATTAATATTAATATAAATTACATACTTAGCATATGTTCTTCGATTCTTCGAACCTTATAGAAGAGAAATATCATTGCATATTATAATGTATATCCATGCAGCGTTTCGAAATATTTTCCGAACATTGAATTACGTAATAAGATCGATTTATCTGGTTTCGCATAAATAGCTAACTCGATACTGTTTTTTATCTAGATAAGCATAATGTTTGTTAAAAATATTCCGGCAAACATATCAGCAGAATTCCAGATTTGATTTTACCAGAATAAGTTTCTTCATAATGCAAGCTTGAAATTTACATGTATCTCTCCAAATTTTAGAAAATTCTATTTAAATCTCTGCCATTTAAAATATTTATTTGAAGAGACATTATACTCTTAGAGATTATATTTGAAGAGGCATATAAAATATATTTCTAGGATATTTAAAACCATATAAAATCACGCGATGTCAGTGCAGTAATAACAGCGAAATGTGGGTTACGAATGTCACGACGAACATAGAAACAACTCGACAAGTCGACTTGAGGGAAGACCGAGAAAAAGAAAACGAAAGAGATGAGGAAAAATCATGGCAAAGAGATCGTGTACGCGGCAGAATATAAAACGTTATGTCACAGCAAGAAAGCAAAAAAGATAGAAAGATAGAATAAAAATATATACATATATATATATGTTTCTTATAATGCGAAAATGTGCGAGTATACGTTTCGTAATACGCCGTTAGGCGCTCATGATGAGACATACTGTGTAAATCGTGGATGGGAAGAGACATAGTTGTATAAATACCGGGAAAAAGCATAAGAGATCGTTGACATTTAAAGCAAACGATAATGATGCGCCGCCACTGTGTTGCCGCTGATTACAGATTCTCTATTCGCAAACTACAACGACATACGAGCGTGTTTCAACTTTAACGATTTTGATCAAGACGGCATGTGTCTACATATGTCCGATAATGTTTGGTAAAAGACTATTTAAGTACGACATAGCGCGTTAATAATTGACAAAAAATTAACTTTTTTAAGTGGATGAGAATGACTTTCTGCGGCTATGACTCCACCGCTCTCCCAAGTAGAAACAGCCGGCTTTAGCCAGACACGTTTTTACTCGCGAGAAGCATAGATTTACAGATTACGTCATCGCACAACAGCGGTTTGACCCCTGAACTATTAACCACAGGTCGCGAATCGAGTATCTGCTAATAGAAAAGAAATACGCGATTGCGATGCTTGATATAATCGTCAATTTACTGTTCTTTTTGCAAACTTATAAATAACATCTCTGTCAATAATGCGTTGATGATAATAAAAAAGCTAATATCTTTCATATTTATAGACACGATGCAATGTATATAAAAAAGTAATGCTACTTCAATTTCCTTGTTTGTCAAAAAAAGTATAATATATGTTTGAAATATTTTGGATATTTTTCTCTCAGAATAGTATTAAAATAACTTTAAAATGCTTTTCAGGGCCAAAGCAGTTCAATTTCCGAGGACACAATTATTTCTATAGCGGACACGTGCCAGCCCATGCTAATCAAAGAGGAGACTGGTTAGACGGTAGGAACATTTGCAGGGAATATTGTATGGATCTTGTCTCGATAGAAACTCAAGAAGAGAACAACATGATCTTCAAACTTATACAACAGAGTAAGTAACTTTATTTCGCGATGCTCGAACTCTCTAATGAAATGTGCCGATATATACGCGTTATTCTATTGTGAATCATCCTCATTGTTCCAATCGTAAAATCAATGTGAAAAAGATACTTCGTTTTTGTTCCCATTATGAATAAAGAAGAATGCACGCGTGTGACGCATCGGCATCGATTGTTGCGAATTTTCGAATTTATTTGAGAATCGATCGAGAATCATAAGAAGGCAAATTGATTTATTTTTGTGACACAATGGCCTTTTATACATTTGCAATAGAAAGTTTCCAGACGGTATATAGCCATAATGACGACGACGGTAGCAGGTTGTAGATATCGACACCGGCGGTTTACCGCGGCAACTTTCATCCGGAGAGATAATCATTTGGCAATATTTCGAAATGAGCGGTCCGACGTCGAGCATCACTTCGTTGTGGATTCGAATGATTAACGACGATGCGCTCCCCGCAAGACCTCTTCCTCCTCCCTTATCTTCTCTCCCTGTTCATTACGACCTTTCGGCTGCAGCGCGATGCGCTTAAGTGCACTCGAGGAGTAAAACTGCAATTAACCGAAGGGTCTAGAATTTACCTAACTTTACTCACTTCTTATTAGTACGCCGTTTCCTTCTTGTTTTCTTTTAATATTAGAAAAGATCGTAAGCTTGGATGGTAGTGTAAAGTATGATAAGCAGTTGCCAATATCTATATCTTGTTGATAAAAATATTTCCATTTTTGTTATAAACCGTAAATTTAATTAAGAAAATAATTTCAATGTTCACAAATATTCTAATCCGCTATTTTTAATTTTACATTTAAAATCGAGATATTTAATTGAAGAATGAATTAATCAAGATTCTAGAAAAATAAAATCGCATCGTTAATCATGACTATACGGAAATTGATTAACCAAGAACCATGAATTAATACAAATTATGGGAATATATCTGTTGGATTAAGCTGCCGCTTTAATCACAATTATCATACAATCGCGCGATGATACGTGCTCGTCACGAGCGATATTCATCACGATGGAGGCGAGTCGATGAGTATAATACGACAGTTTTCAAGGTAATGCGGGGTCTTGAAGTGGGTTGAGGCTAGAGAATCTCATCTTTTTATATAACAGAATCGCGTGGTGCATGAATCCTTTCGCGGTCCGGCGAAAGTAAGGTGCCACTGACAATGAGTTGATTTCGCTCAAGAACCTGCCACAAGACCCGCTTTTTGAATCAATGACGTGTTTTAAAAATCTTTTATATCGGCAATCATTATCTGTGCAATGAATTAAAATCTAGGATAATTCCTATATAAAATCGTACTTTCACTCAATCAGAATTTGCAAAAGGTCAACGTCCCTGGTAGTGCTAATAAATACTTCTCTCCTTTCTCGGAGTAAAATATCGATCAGTCTTCATTCTTACATATTTTAAAAGAGAATAATACGAGAATATATTCAAATTCCAATTTTAGACTTAATAACAATATAGCCATAATTTCTTAAATTTAACAATGATTGCGCTCAATATCGCTCAAAATTAATTTTGGCTATGCCAACTTTCTCGGATAATCTTCTAAAAAAAAAATTTAAAAGTTCTACTTTAATGACTATTAGATTAATATCCAAAGAAGTATCAGTCCTTTTCCAATTCTTTATATATACAAAATCTATTTTCTTTTAGACGATGTTCCATACATCTGGACATCCGGACGTCTCTGCGACTTTAAGGGTTGCGAGAACCGTCGTGATCTCGAGCCCAAGTCTCTGTACGGCTGGTTCTGGTCGGCAAATCGCGAGAAAATGGCACCCACCAACCAGGCACCGGCAGGCTGGTCTTTCAACCCGTGGTCGCAGACTGGCCACAAGAAGGCCAGGCAGCCGGACAATGCCGAGTACGACATCAACGGCACTACCGAGTCTTGCTTGGCCGTCCTGAACAACGTGTACAATGACGGCATCGCTTGGCACGACGTCGCGTGTTACCACGAGAAGCCGTTCGTCTGCGAGGACTCCGAGGAGCTTCTCAACTACGTGGCCAGCACCAACCGCGGCATCCGCCTCTAAAGCGATCGCGGTCAGCCTGACACCTACATGGTGATCATGATCGTCCATCAGCGTCACGTACTCACTCTCCTTTCTATACTTCCCGTAGCAAGGAGGGAGCGACGAGACACGTGCCAAATAAGGACACGAAATTTCTACGTGGCGATTCTTGGTTCTTGAATGATCACAGAGAATCTTTTACAAACAAAATTTGCATGATCCCTTCGGAATTATATAATGGAATTATAATTTATATAATGCGAATTCTCTACAATTTTTATATAATTATATTTTACAGTATAAAGGGAGTATATTTTTTATAATTTTTATAATATGTTCGACTGAGTATTATTCAATTCATCGAGCTTGCTAGACTTGTAATTTTGTAATTTATTCTCTCTTCTGGATTTATATAATTTTTTATAATTTACTACTCTGTCGATATTTTGTGCGAATTTTCATGATTATGTCAACTTGTTATATCTTTAATCTTCCCATCCTGCACAAAATGACTTTCTCGTACGACAAGTAATTTCTGAATAATGTGATCATCGGAGAATTTCATAACAGTTTGTGAAATATAAATGCAATCTCTGAGATACATGCACTTACATGAGGAATCAAATAGCTTATTTTATATCTGACTCTAGTAATAAAAATAAATGTAGAATTTTGGACACGCAATGTTAAAAGCCTATCGAACAAAGAACCGAAAGAGTATACTCATCTATAAAATACATACATCGTGTGAATAATTTGCGTCAAGTTTTTATTGTACAATATTATTTGGTATTATAATATTAGTGCGAAATATGTTACATTTTATAAAATTAAATTTATCTGTGGCACAATTGTATTGTACACAAAAGTTTAGTATAAAAATAAGATTTTAAATTATTTATATCGATCAGGTAATAACGTGTCTCGTCGCTGCGCTCTTTCTGCAGTCATAGTATGGAAAAAATTCAGCAATAATTTTGTACTTTGTTTGATTTGATTACATTGATTGATTTGATACTTTGTAATCACAGTATCGGCTGAAGAGAGTAATTAATTGTGTACATGTATTTATTGATAGATATTTGGCTGACAATCCCTGTACGTTTATGAAATAAATTTAATCTTACGTAATTTATGTATTTATGTATTCTATATTTTATATCCGATATATCTTTATATTCCCATATATATATAAACCGGATAATTTTTAGTTAAATATGTGATCAAAATTTTTATTATTAATTTAACTAAAAATTATTTAATTTATGTTATGTTTGATGTCATTTTAGTCGCAAAGATCTCATTAATCCATTAAAATTATCCTCAAACCGATAAAATGCAAGTAAGAATCTTTCTCAAAGTAAGAATCGAAGTGACAGAAATTTAAATTGTGAATTATCGTTTTGTTGCGATCTTTACGAATAATTATTTCTTTACAACAAATAGAATCAAATATATTTTGTCCACGATATTATATCATTTGACTTTTCGACGATCTAGATATAATTTGGAATGTGAATGTGTTGTAAAACGATCGAATTGCAAAATCGAATAATTAACATAACAATAAGCTCCGTGATATGTTAATTATTTGTAACAATAAGCCCCGTGATACATTAATCGCTTAATAAATAATTGATCCATAATTTAAAATACTTATATAATTTAATATTTTGCATATATATATCATAGTACGTAAAATATTTCGGCAGCGAATTAGCAATACCTAACATGGTATTTGGACTTGACGGCGTAAACATTGGCGCGCTATTGTTTACGTATCACGGCTTTGTTATCATTCATACGAAGGCACTTGACTAGAACTGTAGTGGGGCGAGACGCTAAAATTCCTTTCTTACGTGTTTGTTATCATTCGCGCGCCGATACTCGAGCAGTAATGTAGCAGTGCGAGACTCCGTAAAATTCCTTTCCTAAACGCGATCGCGACAAGTATCGAGAAGATTAATAATTAATTCGTCGTCGGTACTGTCATCGTGCCGCGGACGGTTTTCGCGTCTTTCGCGTCGCGTGTCAGTACAGCATTGCCACGAGTCGCACAATGGCTCATATGTGGCACGCGCATTTATGCGTCGAACGGACATTAGTGCGTCGTCGGTGCCATCATCGTGTCCGAGCAACGATGCGTCGCGTCGTCGCGGTATCGCGTTTTCGCGTCGTCGCGTCTTCGCGGTGAACTTCTATCTCGTTTTCATGATTATCATCGAGGATCATACTTCGTTGCCGACTAAATGGGATGTCTCTCAGCGTTGCAATCTTTAATATATTAATACCTATTAATATAATTAATTTTATATTAATATCAATTAATATTAATACTATATTAATATTATATATTATATAAATATTTATGTATTAATAAATTTAATATATTAATGTAGGCGCAACGTTAAAACGCCTCAGTATCGCGGCTGAGGAATGAATGCCGGCCGCGTAGCAACGTATGTTCGTGCATAGTATAGATGCATGTTCGCGCGGTTAATCTTGAACTTCGGTTCGAGAATTGGTTGTTGAGGGCACGTTCTGCTCCGACAAACGGTTCGGCCCGAATCGGTTAGAGTTCGGTCGATTGTTTTGGAATCGTCGTTCATGGGTCCCTTCTCTTGTACCGTCTAACAGCACATTGTAGCAATACTAACAT